ATTTCAAAGCAATCATATCAGACAAGTGCAATCACAGGTCTTCATCGTTGTTTTTTATCAACAAACAATTATTTTTGTTTGGTTTTTCATTATCATGGAATATAACATCATTGTTCCTGCTACCATACATCTTAAATGAAATCTCAACTGCAAGAAATCTTTATTTTAGACATTACTGAACCTTTATTTTGTTTTGACCATATATTTTTTATGAATATCGGAGTATGATATGAAATGGAACATGGTATTGTACATTGTCCCCCAATCTCCGAGCATTTGTAACCAAAAACAGATTTAAATCTGTTCATCTAACTTTCCAACCTAGTGAGGATTAAAATGGATTCTAATTTAACATTAAAGTTATCTGAATCTAAGATTGTGGAACAAATCTATCATACAAACGTATTTTTGGGAAAATAAAGACATAAATGATCGGTTAATTTCTTTATCTCAAAAAATTTTATTGGATATATTTATGTATTTTTTAGGGTCAGGCGGGGTAGTTTATTTCATCATGTGGAATATTTTAAAATGTCTGAAATAAGAATAAAGGTACTCACTTCCTCAACTGTGTGCGACTTTTCTACCTACATGAATAGTAATAATAATGTGTAGACATTAAAGACTGGTTAATACAATTAGATGTATGGTTCACAGTTGGCAGATTTATGGAACTTATTAGACCTTGTTGCACTTTGTTACACAGGACTTTACTACATTCTGTTTGGAAATGGGTATACCGGTAATTTGTTTCAATGAATCTTACATGTAGTGCACAGACCCAGTGGCGGATCTAGGACCCCCCCCCCCCCATAAAAAAATCATGTATCCGCCCCCGAGACCTGATCATTGAATAATTCTTAGATTCACAGCTTTTTCACCATTATTAGTACCGATAAGTACTAATCATCACATTTCAATGAAACTTGGTAAATTATATTCAGAATTTGTCCCAATTTCATCACGAAGTCGAAGTTAGGATATTATTGTAAACAACTAGTGGGGAGGTATTACCATATTATTTTTAAAAAAGTATTTATTAGAAATGCAGTAATGGAATCCATTTTGTCGGTTTTAAAATCTCGGTGTTAAATGTGTTATTTGTGTGTTTCGTTCTGTATTGAGTCACTGTTTAACAAATGTACGAGAACCCACATACTGCATATTTTGAAGGAGTTTGTTTCTTGTCAAATGAACTTTTCAAATAAAAACATTGTAACGCCAAACAGAAAAGGTTTATATGAACAAGGAAACTTCAGAGAGCCATGTGACCATGTTTCAACAAACTGGTCGAACTTAGAGTGTTGATTACTCAACTTTTTCAAATTGTCCGCTCACATCAATTTAGGTTGAACTCAAATACATGTTATAAATACACTGCATAAGTGCAGTCCGTCTTCCTTATTCGCCCGCATTGTGATGATTATGAAACCTGGGATATGTTAAAGACTGCAGATTAGGTTATGTAGGAGAACGGTCTCATAACTGCATATATAAATATAGTTTTTTTACGATCATTTTTAGTTCGTACAATATGCCACGCCACGCCAATATGCCAGTTTGTAATGTCCCTTCCGTATGTAATAATATTTTCAGAATCCACAGAGAAATTAATACAATAGCAGCATATTAACTAAATGAGTGAAATGATTTATTATAAAAAAAACAGCCGTGATAGTAGAAAGTCACTCACTTGTTCCGGCGCTTAGATTGACAATCTACTAGTATTCCATGCTTTGCCAAAATATCATTATTTTTTTTACAATTCATACACGAATTCTATTCCCTTTTCTTTTAATTTCTTCACTATGACGTCATCAAACATCTCATTTTCGGCCACAGTGAAATGGTTCTTCCAGTCGCCAACTTTCCCCTTCCTAAAATAGCCAGCAACATAATTTGGCATAAATGTCTCGTCAATATCGATTTTAGATGCAGACGTTGGATTATTACGTAAATTATCGAAGGAAGTTTTAGATATAGCATTTTCTAAATGCGATTCCGGCACTGGCCGTCCCAGGAACTCTGTTATCGCGCGGACAGTGGTCTTGGTGTCTTTTACCATGTCTTCGTAGGTGACGCATAACACGTTCTCATCTTCACTGTGTTCCCTCCAACCAGCTACGTGATCTACCCACGGTGTACTTGGAATGATCCTATCTATGAAATTTTTAAGATGGCCTTCTCGTGTAACTTTTCCCTTCATGAAATTTGTTCTGCAAAACCAATGATAGCTAGAAGTGACGACATCTTTAGGGTTACGAGCGATGTATATTACTTTGGTACCAGTCTGCAGTGCTTGCTTTGGGAATACTTCGTACGGGAGGTGCGACTTGATAAGCCGTGGTGATGACGTCACGCTCGGGTTCATTTGAAATGATTTTACGGTATTAAGTAGAGGTGTATCGACCTCACCGAACATCGTGGGTTCTATTATCAACCACTCTAGCATTGGAGGCACTTTCTTGTCACCGTGCTGAAACACATTCAAATCGGGGTATAACTCTTGCAGTAAGAATATCATCCAGGTGTTACCAGACTTGGGAAACCCTTGCACAATGATGTCATCATGACGGAGAAATTTCTCTAAGACTCCATTCTCAAGTTTGGAGATATCGGTGTTCGGACAAAGTGTGTATCCCTTGTAGACCAATTTCTGGGAGGCGTCCATAGCAGATTATCAGCGATGGTCGCTTCACTCCTTCTATAATGGCGGAGACGTCGTGTGCAAGTATGGGTCACACTTGGGTGCATTCACCGGTCAATCGTTCAAAGGTCAAACTCAAATATTCAATGGTACTAAAAAAAGTCTCCACAATCCTTTAAAACAATCCTTAAAACGTACCTACGAAATTATTAGTGTGAGTGGGGGACATGTGCGCTAGTTGATAAAAATAATTGACAAAATAGATATGTAATGCTTTGAGAATAATTCCATGTTGTTACAATGGTAGGACATTCTGTTTTATTATCACAGATCACAGTCCTATAGTGTGCTCAAATAGAGCATACGCCGATGTGGATCTACCGGTCGGTAGATATTATTAGTAATATTAAAAATAATAATAACTTTATTGCATCTTTAGATATCCAGTTTTTCTATCAGTTTATAGTAATAAAGATGAAATACAAATAGTGATAAAAAAAACAAAATAAAATTATTTAAAAGTGTTCATGGCAAGGAAGGAGAAACTTGTGTACTTTCCATTAAGTATACACATTTTTGTTGGTCGTTTGTGACCTCAGAAGGAAATACTATTTTGAAAGCATAACAGTTCGATGGTTTGGTACTGATTTCGGGCATACCGTAAGAAAGTGTATTTCGTCCTCTATATGTTGGAGAGAACAGTGACTGCAGAGTATAGTATGCCTCCCCTTTTTCATTGCCAGGTTATGGTTACCTTTTCTGAATCTAGAAACAGAAAAATTCTCCGATTTAGATTCAGAACGCTTAGATACTCTTCCTTTAACACACACTGTTACACATTTACTGTACGTCCTCAATTTACCTTTCCAGACGTTTATATAATTTTGTGTCAAATATTTGTCTATTCTTTGTGTATTTGTTAAATGTTGAATGATTGTGTCATTTTCTTTAGTTTCATTTTGAATTGATGTAATCCATGAAAGTTTTGATTTTATCTGCTCATGTAGACTGTCGACAGTCTTCAGGCCTAATTTGCCGAAGGCGTTTACAATTCCGTAGGCATTTCGGCGAAGGCCGGAGGCCTGAGGATTGTTAACGCTTGTAAACGCCCCCACGCGTCATTACGTGGTTTTCCACCCGAATAGACCTAGCTCGAGCCATTCCATTAGAGCGCGTTCGTTCCCTGGTCTCATTAGCGAGCGTTCCATTAGAGAGCGGTCACGTGATCAATTCAGCAAGACGTGTGATCACCTGACAAGTGCTGGATACACGCTATAACGGCAAATAGCGTTAGGTTTAGCGAATTTAGGTTAGGTTTAGCGAACATGATCTGTCAATCATTCTCCTTTCAGTACCGGTGGAAAACCACGTTATGTTGCGGGAGGGTGTTTACAAATGTTAACAGTCCTCCAGCCTTCGCTGAAATGCCTGAAATGGCGTTTGCTGATTTAGTATACCACAGTCAGTATACTACTGTAAAATGACTAATTTTCACTGGGTTTAAATTTCACTGATTTACCATTTCAGGCATATTCAGTGGGTTTTAAATTCACGGTTTTATCATTTAGATAATGTGTTCTATGCTAAATTTTACATATTCACTGTGTTTTAATTTAGCGCATTTTTCCAGTCAGCGAAATAAGCTAAATTAAAACCCAGTGAATAATTACCCCCTTTACAGTAACAAATGAGGCCTGAGAACTTTCGACAGTCTACTGTACTGCTCATGGTATGCCTGTTCGTTGACCGAAGACGCGTGCCAAATACTTCATTAGATTTATTTTGATGAATTGATTCATACCCAGAATCTGTCCACAAAATTTCAGATGTGTTTTTTCAACTGGTGTTGTGTCCTACTTATTACTATTTTCTAAGATTTCAAAACCCCATGTGTCTGAACCGTAAAAAAAATGTATAATATTGGTCTTATACAAGTTCTTATACAGTTCTCGCTAAAGAAATCCCGACTGGACGCATTTGCGGGCATTTGACGCGTTTGATTTACACAAAATTTGATTCACATAGGGCTTGATTTACACAGGTTTTTGTTTACACAGGTTTGGGTTAAGACAGGGTTTGGTTTACAAAAAATTTGCATTTACACAGAGCTTGGTTTTCATACAGGGTTTGGGTTAAGACAGTGTTTGGTTTACACATGTTTACACATAATTTGATTTACGCAGGACTTGGTTTACAAATGGTTTGGCCACAGTCCCTCTGTGATAGAGGGACTGTGGTTTGACTTACACGGGTTTGGGTTAAGACAGGGCTTGGTTTTCACATTATCGATTTACATAGGGCTTGGTTTACACATTGTTTGGTTTACACAGGTTTGGGTTAAGACAGGGTTTGGTTTACACATAATTTGATTTACACAGGGCTTGGTTTACACATTGTTTGGTTTACACAGGTTTGGGTTAAGACAGGGTTTGGTTTACACATAATTTGATTTACATATGGTTTGATTTATACAGGTTTTGGTTAAGACTATGGTTTCCACATAATTTGATTTACACAGGGTTTCCACATAATTTGATTTACACGGGGCTTGGTTTACACATGTTTTTGTTTACACAGATTTGGGTTAAGACAGGTTTTGGTTTACAAATGATTCGATTTACACAGGGCTTGGCTTACACAAGTTTGGCTTAATACAAGGTTTGGTTTACACATATTTAATTTGAATTACACAGGGCTTGGTTTACACATGTTTGGGTTAAGACAGTGTTTTGTTTACACATAATTTGATTTACACAGGGCTTGGTTTACACATGATTTGGTTTACACAGGTTTGGGTTAAGACAGGGTTTGGTTTACACATATTTAATTTGAGTTACACAGGGCTTGGTTTACACATGTTTGGATTTAGACAGTGTTTTGTTTACACATAATTTGATTTACACAGGGCTTGGTTTACACATGATTTGGTTTACACAGGTTTGGGTTAAGACAGGGCTTGGTTTACACATATTTAATTTGAGTTACGCATGGCTTGGTTTACACATGGTTTGATTTACACAGGTTTGGGTTTAGGCAGGGTTTGGTTTACACATAATTTGATTGACACAGGGCTTGGTTTACACATGATTTGGTTTACACAGGTTTGGGTTAAGACAGGGTTTGGTTTACACATATTTAATTTGAGTTACGCATGGCTTGGTTTACACATGGTTTGATTTACACAGGTTTGGGTTAAGACAGGGTTTGGTTTACACATATTTAATTTGAGTACAACAGGGCTTAGTTTACACATGTTTGGATTAAGATGGTGTTTTGTTTACACATAATTTGATTTACACAGGGCTTGGTTCACACATGATTTGGTTTACACAGGTTTGGGTTGAGACAGGGTTTGGTTTACACATATTTAATTTGAGTTACACAGGGCTTGGTTTACGCATGATTTGGTTTACACAGGTTTGGGTTTAGGCAGGGTTTGGTTTACACAAAATTTTATTCACACAGGGCTTGGTTTACACAAGTTTGGGTTAAAACAGTGTTTTGTTTACACATAATATGATTTACACAGGGCTTGGTATACACAGTTTTGGGTTAATACAGGGTTTGTTTTATACATGCTTTAGTTTGGATTTAAATATTACATGGTTCAGTTTACACGATTCGGGTCACACGGTTTGGTTTAAATAGGATTTGATTCACATTGTTCTGTTACTAACATCAGTTTGAGTTTAGATGGAATTAGATTTACACAGTTGACATCCGTTCTGTTTACAAAGGGCTGTGTTTACCGACTAGGAATGGTTGTACGTATAATACGGTTTAAACAGGTTTGGTGTGATTTGCCGCTCGAGTTTGGTTGAACATGGATTGGATTATGCACATTTTATTCATAGTGTTCTGCTTTCACTGGATTTGCTTCAAACACTGTTCGGTTTTTTCATATGATTTGGTTTACACAAGAATTCAGTTTACAGGGTTCGGTTTGAACTTGCTTTAATGTCCACATGTTTCATCAGATTCAAAGTGTGGTTTAGACAGTGTTCACTTTACGCACAGTTCGGTTTAAGCAGTTTTATCGGGGACTCTTACATTTGAGTGTGTGTGTGGGGGGGGGGACTTTTCTACACGGGTTCCGTTTACACACGGTTATTTTGAATTATTATTTACCTTTGATGTCATTTTTACATGTTGCTTCCACAAAGTAGTTAGTAAACCGTGAAATCTATTCGTGGTAGTATGACTACACTTTTATTACTCGACTACGCTTAGCAAGAATCAAAAACTAACCAAGCAGCCTGACGATGTGGTCATAGTCTGGTCCCCTGCCCCA